GATTGGCTGCTGTGCTGACATAGCCTAGCTCTCTCTATAAATACAGGAAGATCTGGTAGCAGATTGGACTGGAAGGAGTGCTTAACAGTTCATTCCTTGTTATATATCTAATTATCTTTATAAATAAATATATTAAATTATCAGCAATTTGGTTTTATCTCTCTAGAGAACCCTGCCTAACACAAGTGTAATGGAGAGTACTTTGAAGGTGATAAGATGGTTTTGTAAAAAATTCTGGGTTTTGGCGGGTACCCTCTCATAACAAAGTTCAGCATTAGCTTTAGCTTAACTGGAGCGCAAGCTGGGGGCTGGGTACAAAGAAGCCTTTGTATTAATGTATGCGCTCGTGTTTGGGCGTGGCTTGCGGTAGACTTTTGCGCCTGCGCAGTTTTCCAGAAGCGCTTGCGTGAGGACCCGGAAGTTCTAGTCTTGCCTCACAAGCGGCACTTCCTCGAGCGGAGCGGAGCGGAGCGGAGCGGAGCGGAGCAGAGCGGAGCGAGTTCGTGCTTTTGCCGCCTTTTCCTTTCTCTCACCGCCCCGGTCCATTTTCCGGCGGCTTAGAGAAAGCCATGGCAGATTACTCAACTATGGCTTCCGAGGATTCTCTGGTTTTCACTACCAGCCTGCCAGCAGACATTGTAGAACGTCCACGGGATGATGTAGAGACCATTGCTAAGGCTACTATTACCGTGGAAACCATTCCACGTGGAGATCTCTCTGGCAGCTGGGTCCACGGAGGCCACGAGCAGTCTCCTCTGATCGTCCTGCAGCCTCTCTACCCTCCCACCCTGATGCAGGGAGGTCAAGACGACGACTTTGTCATGGTGCAGCCGCGAGAAGAAGTGGTGGACGACTCCAATGCCAGCAGCGACTTGGAGGAGCAGATTCTCGTCCCAGCCAGTGACCCCGAAGATGAAGACTTCCAGCAGGGGCTGCCGTCCTTTTCCGCCACCTCCGAGCTGAGCGGCAGCCCAAGTAAGCCAGACTCCCCCAGCGCGGTGCAGGCTTGCCGCCACGAGCCCTTGGCGGGACCCAGCCACGTGGGCGAGGCCGGGGCCGCGCTCAGCCCCACCAGCGGCGAACCAGGTACCAAACATTGGGTGCAAAGGCTGGTACAGATTAAGACCCTGGAGGGCGAGTTCGCTGTTACCATGTGGACCCCCGGCGAAAATACAGGCCAGGAAGAGGGGGATCCAGCAGAGGCTGGGGCTGGGGCTGTGGTGGCAGCGGCGTTGGCCGCAGTGGCGGTGGCCACGAAGGCGGAAGCGGCGGCAGCGGCGGAGACCGTGGGGGCGGCTGAGGGGCAGGCAGAGGCGGCGGAGACTGTGGAGGTGACGGATATCATGGAGGTGGCGACGGAGATCGTGGAGGCGGCGACGGAGACCGTGGAGACCATGGAGGCGACGGAGACCGTGGAGGCGGCCGAGGCGACGGCTGCAGCGGCGGCGGTGGCAGCGGAGGCCGCAACAACTGAAGAACAAAGTGGGAAGGTCTCCCTTCCAGATTTTTCCGAGTACCTGACTGGGAAGAAATTCCCTCCGGGAGGAATACCGGGCCTGGACCTAACAGACCGTCAGCAACTAGCAGAATTTACTAAAATGAAGCGCAGAAGACCGAAAGACGACTCTACCCGAACCATACCGTGCCCGCATGCTGGCTGCGAAAAGAAGTTCCACGATAATTCGGCTTTGAAAAAGCATTCTCACATCCATGGCCCAAGAGACCACGTCTGCCCTGAGTGTGGCAAACATTTTCTTGAGAGCTCCAAACTCAAGCGTCATCAATTGGTTCATAGCGGCGAGAAGCCTTACCATTGTGTGTTTGAAGGCTGTGGGAAATGTTTTTCCCTTGACTTCAATTTGCGCACTCATGTGCGAATTCATACTGGCGATCGTCCCTTCACCTGCCCTTTTGCAGGTTGTTCTAAGACGTTCACGCAATCAACGAATCTGAAGTCGCATATCCTAACCCATGCCAAGAAAAACGCCAAGTGAAGAGAGCATCCTGCACAGACTGGGCAGCCGTCTTCCAGAACTGTCATGGGGAGTGGCTGCCTCCCTTGGTTTATTATTTCTAGTGCAAGAGTTTTTGAAAACGAGTTGCTTCCATCTAAATAAACGGTCATGTTTGGCTACAGTAAATTTTGTTTAATTTTTTTAAAGTTTTATAGCAAGCAATGTGTTGATAATCTTATATAACAGTTCTATAAGATAGCATTAGTGAGATTTATCTTGTTCTATAATGCCAACTGTCATGGGGAGTGGCTGCCTCCCTTGGTTTATTATTTCTAGTGAAAGAGTTTTTGAAAACGAGTTGTTTCCATCTAAATAAACGGTCATGTTTGGATACAGTAAATTTTGTTTTATTTTTTTTTAAGTTTTATAGCAAGCAATGTGTTGTAATCGTATATAACAGTGCTATAAGATAGCATTAGTGAGATTTATCTTGTTCTATAATGCCATTTTTAAAGTACAGTGTTTTTGTAAAGTTTAGCCCCAACAGGAAATAATTCTTCACTTCAAAGCATGTAACTGTGCTGCAAAATGGTTTGTTTTTTAACTTTTGTATATATAGGAAGTTCACATGTTGTTAACTGTTTTGAAATATTTTTTATTTTCCACATGTTGGTACTTGTTACTTTAAGGAGATAATTCTGGTTGCTTGCTGCAGTTTGATAACTTTGTGTGCAGCTGATTTCTTTAAAAGAATGGGAAGGTTTGGGGCTTATAGCAAGCAGCTTTTTGAAATAGCTTTCCTGTGTAAAAGAAGTTACATAGATTTTTTTGCTGTCTTCATTGTTGTAATCTTTGATGTTAAAACATTTTGCATACCTCATTTTAGCTGTATTGAATTATATATTGACTTAAATATTTGTAGGAAGGTTGAATTATATAGTGTTAACTATTAGATATGACTTGTAAAAAGGTTGAATTATATAGTGTTGACTATTAGATAAGAATTTGTAGGAAGGTTGAATTATATAGTGTTAACTATTAGATATGACTTTGTAAGAAGGTTGGATTATATCGTGTTAACTATTAGATAGGATTTTGTAAGAAGGTTGGATTATATAGTGTTGACTACTAGATATGACTTTGTAAGAAGGTTGGATTATATAGTGTTGACTATTAGATAAGAATTTGTAGGAAGGTTGAATTATATAGTGTTAACTATTAGATATGACTTTGTAAGAAGGTTGAATTGTAT